GGTCATTTTGCATATTAGGCTTTTATTATATAGGATAATATGGTAGAATATTGATTTTACTCTCCTCATCTTTTATGCTCAGACACACTTTTTGTCCTTTACCCAACTATCAACACATGTTCAACCACTCTTTCACTATTTCTTTCTTATTAAACCACTCTCCATAGTAATACTTCATTTATCCAGCTGTTCCTAAGAGAGTTTTCAAGATAAACTTTATTCTTAAAATATTGATGTTTCTAAAAGTAGGTTATACACATCTCTACTATTTTAAAATAAAACATCTGTTTCTTGATGCAATTTAGGCCAATTATTTTACCCTGGAACTACTAAAATGTATAGGGATATTTGGGTATCTGGGTCCAAATTAAGTGGTTGTGGGCAGCTGCACTTTTAGAGTTCCTCTGTTAATGACTTACAGTTTTTATGGCCTTTGCCTTGCCTTCATTTAGCATGCTGCCACTTCTTAATGGAGCTCTGACTTCTTGAAGCAATAACCACCCTCTTTTTAACTGCTGCTAGGGTTGACTGTGGTTTGGGAAACCAGGCATATTTGTTTGTTAGGACTGTTTTTGTAAAAAAATGGACTGTTTGTAGATGGGGGACTAAAGAAGTAATGAAGTGGGGAAGGAGAATTAAAGAATAATTTTGCCAGGCTGGGCCCAGGCTAGCTTATCTGAAGGTTCTGAGCTGAGATTACTGCATAAAAGACCCTGGTTGAGTAAAGTACTCACGTTCCTTTTCTATCTTACTCATTGGTTAACTAATCAAGTGTCTTCATACATAGCTGTTTGTTTTTTTGACACATATGAATTTGTTTACAGTTCAACTGATATATGTCTATGCATGTAGAAAGTTTATTAAAATGAAACTAGTCACCAAAAGAAAAAGAAAAGCTTACTTCACCAATACAGGAGCTATATAATAATGTTACTTCTCGTGTGTGTCCACTGATTTATATCTTTAAGAGTAGAAAATTATTAAAATAACAATAGTCACTAAAAGAAAATAAGAAGCCCTCTTCACACAATACAGAAACTATAACAGTGACAACCTGTTAAGGACTCACTCACTTTTAATAGTCTAGAGTGGTCGGCAAACTTCAACTCGGCAAACCATAGCTCACGAGCCACATGCGGCTCTTTGGCCCCTTGAGTGTGGCTCTTCCACAAAATACCGCTCTTCCACAAAATACCAACTTCTGCGCATGAGCCACGAAGTTTCAGTCGCACTGTATGTGCGCGCCTGCACGTGGTATTTTGTGGAAGGGCCACACTCAAGGGGCCAAAGAGCCGCATGTGGCTCGCGAGCCATGGTTTGCCGACCACGGGTCTAGGATATGTGCATTCATACAGGTTAACTGTGTTTAGGATCTTAGTCAACTGTGCACATGTTAAGAACCACTGTAAACCCAAACAGAATTTTGTAACTTTTTCTTTCCAAGCATTTTCATATTTTATAATAGCTTTCTACATGAGCAGATTATTAACACCTGTGTTTGGCTAATAAATCTAGATTTACCCCTAAACACATAATTCTGATAAAATCTAACATGAAAGAAAAGAAGAAAGGAAGGGAAAAAGAAACATCTTTTATATGCATAGTATAAGCCAAAGACAGAAAGCACTTGCTAATTCGCATAGCTTCCATAAAATTGTTCTAATTATACCCTACTCTACTTACCTCTGACTTATCCAAAGGAAAACTCAACTCCAAGCTGGCTTTCTGTGACCTTGAAGGCCTGTGACCCTGAACCTTTCCTGGTAGTCAGTATGTGTGTTTCCAGAAATTACGAGCTATGTTTATTATGATTCTTAAAATAACAGAAGAAATACATTAACAAAATGCCATCAGATTACCTGCTTTTTTGAATTCCCTTTACCAATGTTACCGTTTATTAGGACAGATAAATGGGAATTAGCTTTGGTGAAAGCCTTTCTGCATTTGTCTATAAGAACTCCTGAAAAATATATATATTTTTAAACAGACACAGAATCAGAGATTATAGTCCGGAATGAAATTCTTCCAGTCTACAGGAAAATTTGTCTTGGAGTATAAAAAAATGAATCAGGTATTTCCCTTGAGGCTCATTCTGAGTGCACATTTTGTTCTAAGCTTTGTTTGCTTTTTGCAACAGCATTTAAGAGAAAACCAACTGACCATTTACAACCCAAACAATGGCTTTAGAGCAGCACCATTAAGGACCGCACCTGGCCAGACTCAAACAACACGTCTGTTTAACCTGGTGACTTTCCTGTGTCTGGGGTCAGGCAGGAGCAATCTTGGTTGGGGGGAAGGAAAGAAGAGCAAATATAACTGACTGACTGAGAACAAAACAGTTGCACCAACTATACTTTGTAATTACAACTGTTTCAACAGTTGCTAGTAGGCAAGGCTGTCATTTAAGTGACCCACTATAATTTGGGACAAAGCCCCCGGAAATTATGGCACTTCAGAACAGGAGTGCATTTCTGAGTTTTCTGAGCATAACACGCCCACTGAAATGCGGAGTAGTCCTTCTTTGGTATACATTTACATCAAGGGAAACATTAGTAATAAAAGGAATTTAGCTAGAGAGGAAAAGAATATCATAACATTCACGTTTGGGAGCAGACCATAGTTTATTTTTCTTTTGCATCTTTTTCATTATGCACTATTTCCATCATATAGAAAATATACAGGGAATAGGACCATTAGCCCACAAACCCATCATTCAGTTTCAATAATCAACATTTGGCCAATCTTATTTTACTCTACCCTACCCACTCCCCTCCTTGAATTCTTTTTGAAAACAAATCCAACACAGCCTATATTTTATTTTATAAAAGCTTTAATTTTATGATTTATGTACATATTTAACCTAAAGATCACTCCACAAATTATATTAAGCATGGCATGTTTTAACCAACTTTAACTACCCCTTTAAGTATTTTACACTAAAACCTATCTGCCTAGAAAACGAATTTGTTTGAATATAATTGGTTAATTAAAATGATAAAGTAACTTGAATCAGAACCCTCTATTATTTTATTTACGGGGGTGGGGGGGGGGAGAAAGAAACATTCTGAGGTTGAGAAAATAGTGCATATTATGCAGTCCCTGTGATTTTCATCTTTGTGGACACTGATCAACAAGAGACAAGGTTAAAAGTAATACAGCTGGATTTGTCTGGATGGAGCTTAGAAAAATGGGAGGAGGCTACTGAGGGGCAGGAGAGCTGCCTAGCAGGAAACTTTTCCCTTTTCCTTCACCACACAGACAGAATAAATCAGAATGCCAATAGGCCAAACCTTGGAAGCTTCAAAAATCACTCATAGGCAGTCCAGTTACTTATAATAATTTATTACAGATCTTAAAGCAAAGATCAAAAGGAACTCCATCTAGCATTTATATTCAATTCCTCGTTGCCTGATGACTAATTTGTAGAGGAATGAAGTCTTCACAAGGGAAGCCAAAATAATCTGAGGTGACTTTGATACAATGCCACAAAGGATATGAAGAGGAAGCCGGTAGAAGCTGCAAATGGCCAAGTTCCATTAAGGGTTCTAATAAAAGAATAATGGAATTTCCCTTAACTGTGAATTAAAAAATGTTAGAAGTGGGCAAAATTTAGACAAGTCAGGCAAAACATTTGTCACAGCCTTTTGTTGTTAAATGTTAACTTTAGCCACTGTTGCATTTATGTTCATTACATGGCTTCATCTAAAAAAATGCAACTTTCCCATCAGAAACCTGGCCAATCACATTCCTTTTGCTTTCGTATATTACTTATCAGCCTGCACCTTCCACCTGCATTGTCAGATACTACGAGTTCTCTCAACCTCTTTCAAACAAATGGCCATATTCTGCAAACTGATTGACTTAACTTCAAAAAAGCAACTTGAAATGATATAATTTTTAGTTATGTATATAGCGATGGTCACATGGAGGAGCATAAACATCTCTTTTAAAAATTTTTGGACTTCAGTCAAATTGGTCACGATAGAAACACTAGAAGCTATTCAAATTCTTTCAACTTTTATGAACAACTGGCATGATTTTCCCCTCCTGAATCCAGACATCTTCATATTCTGAGCTGAGGAAAGTAGTTTTCACACTACTTATTTTGGCTAGTTAAAAAATCCCCACCAAATGTCTCCCTGTAAATTCATAGATAAAGATTTAAGTTTATATTAGCAATTCGACGGTGCAACTTTTTTGTTTGCTTCTGAAGTCACCTCAAATTAACAGATTTACTGGAATCTTACGTGATAAAGAAGTTTTACACAACTCTCAGGAATCTCGCAATGTATTTCCCTATGAAGTTGCGATATTGAGCATTTTCTTTAAAAACAGTTATACGTGTGGTTTTTTAAAAAGAGTCCGATCTTTTACAAATATAGTGAAATACTTATAAGTAAAAAGATGTCTGGGAATTCTTCAAATACAGGCAGTGGAGAGCTGGGGTTCTAAAGAATCAGAGCTGGCCATGGGTACATCAAGCTGTGGGATGGATGCGTAGGGTCCCTACACAATTTGGTCTTCTGTGTAGCAAAACTATTGGCAGTGGGTATTTCACATATAATGCTATGCACTGTTTTTCGTTAGGGTTTTTATTCGGAAAGTAGCTTTCCATCAGGAGCAATGGAGAACCAAGAATTGGCAGTTAATATTTCAACTATCTGTACCAATCCAAAAGCCAAGTCCATCACGACATTGTTTAGTATGAAAAGAAAAAAAAAACCAACCAAACAAAAAAACCCCCCAAACCTGTCTTTGCAGTCTTTGAGATTTCAGTGACAATATGTAACTAGATTTTAATGTGAATAAAATACAATTATTTTAGTTCAAAATACACATTTTCTGGTTTCTTTTAAAGACATAGAGTTGGAAATTAAGATAGAAATAGAAATGGTAAGTGGTAAGTATACTTTAAAATCACTACATACCAGGAGACATTGTGCCATACATTCAGAAAGACTTCTCTACCACCCAATACGCTAATCACATGCATCTCTTACCTTGTGATCATACGGACTGTAAGAGTGAAATACCCGAGAAAGATCTTTTGTTCTTTGCTTTTTCTGTGGAAGAAAACACAGACATCTGAGTTGATAGGTGGCAAAACATACATGTGCATATGTACCTATATGTATATCTCTCTCTCCATATTTATTTCTCTGTCTCTCTATCTGCATTAAGATAATGTGTATTGAGATATTCTTCCCTGTGCAAGGTGAGGGGCTCCAGTGTCAACATGGGACATGTGGATGAAATTAGAAACCAAAGCCACTTGATGGTTATGTGGGTCATTGTCACAGACCAGCCAGGCCACTTAGAAGGTTGCATAGTTACAACATTAATCATAAAAAAACCCTATTTATAGACACATAACTTAGAGACTAAAAGGAAAAAGAAAAGGAAAGAAACCTCTGAATTTCATTGTAATATCAACTGCTGTTACGCTAAATTGGTCACTTCATTGTCTATTTAAACCAGTGGTTCTCAACCTTCCTAATGCCGCGACCTTTAATACAGTTCCTTGTGTTGTGGTGACCCCCAACAATAAAATTATTTTTGTTGCTACTTCATAACTGTAATTTTGCTACTGTAATGAATCGTAATAATATGCAGGATGTATTTTCATTGTTACAAATTGAACATAATTAAAGCATAGTGATTAATCACAAAAACAATATGTAATTATATATGTGTTTTCCGATGGTCTTAGGCGACCCTTGTGGAAGGGTCATTCGACCCCCAAAGGGGTCGCAACCCATAGGTTGAGAACCACTTATTTAAACAATATACCTCCTTCAGGCCCCAGGTCACAGCTTGGGTCTGTCACTGTTATCTAATTCAGGTGCCTTGCATGGTTTTCTCATTAATTTAACAAATATTTATTGAGTGACTGAAATTGGAACTTTTTTCCTGCAATTCATTTCAATTTTTAAATATAATGATTAGCTTTGCACAAATATCTGCCAGACTGAGAGTGAAAGTTTTTATTTTCTGTTAGAGAGAGAGAGAGAGAGAGAGAGAGAGAGAGAGAGAGAGAGAGATGAAAGAGACACACGGATGAGTTGCCTACTGCACGTGCCCCGACCCGGGCTGGGATTGGGCCTGCAACCCAGGTACATACCCTTCACCAGGAATTCTCGGGCCAATGCTTTAACCACTGAACAAACTGGCCAGGGCATGAGAGTGGAAGGTTGTTTTTTTAAAAAATATATTTCATTATTTTGTTTTTTTCAGAGAGGAAGGGAAAGGTATAGAGAGAAACATCAATCAGCTGCCTCCTGCACACCCCCTACTGTGGATGTGCCCGCAACCAAGGTACGTGTCCTTGACCGGAATCGAACCTAGGACCCTTCAGTCTGCAGGCCGATGCTCTATCCACTGAGCAAAACCGGTTAGGGTGAGTGGAAGATATTTAAAGGATAAATTATGAAAATCCAGTTGCAGAATCAAACAGTATGTATGTTTATTACATTAATAGATACAGCCATACTGCTCCCTTCCCTAAAACATTGTATCAATTTGCCTTCTCACCTAGAGTGAGTGGAAATTACAGCTTAAGTCGGAAATTCTTAATTTCTTTTTTCCATTTATAGGTTGTTACATTTCTAAATTTATAGAACAGATAAAACATTTTTAAAACAGACATTGAACATCTTCACAGGTGTCTATTATGGAATTTATTTCTTGTACATCATAGAGTTAGACACTACCACATACTAACATTCCATCACGAGATTGGCCAGTTTGCCCTTAATTCTATCCCTGTGTTGCTTCTGGTTCTACTTTGTTGATTTTAATCCCACTACCAGGTAAATGAGGCCCACTGAGAGTTATCCTCCCTGCCGCTCAGCCAGAATTCCCACCTCCTCTGGTCTATCTCTCAGGTGTGCTTCTGACCATCAGACTCTAAGGTAATTTAACATTCCTTTTCCCCAGACAGCAGAGATGGATCTCTAACTGACCGGAAACAGTCCTTTGGCTCTAGGAGCTCTGGAATCTGTTCTGAACAGGTCACTTGCCATCAAAGTTTTCATTAGCTTATAATTTTCTCTTTCATTCCCATATACCCACTTAGTTGGTGTAACAGTTCTTGGCTTATATTTTAATCACAAGAAAAATGACGGATACTAACACTTCCTTTGGTAAAATTAATTAAAACATGGGGAATTTTTTTTTTTTTCAGAAAGGAAATTATGCTAGAGAAGATAAACGAGGGAGCAAAGCAGTCTTAAACTTAGGAGGTGTCTCCAGGTCTGTTCAGTCCCAGAGATGGCTGAGCTACCAGCTTGAGTTGGCAATGAATACGGAATATTCAGTTTGTTTTGTGTGCCTTTGTTTGTGGCTTTTGAACCTATTTTGATAGCTAAAGATGCATTTTATTATAAGCTACCTCAAATATTTTGGGAAGGAAATGGGGTATAAATGATAAATAAATACACTATTCAGATTAGCCCCCAAAGAAGCCAGAGAGGAAAGAATGTTCTTTTTTCTGACAACAAATTTATTATATACAAGTACAGTGAAGTTTTGGCTCTGAATATTGAAGGTTATATATATTAGTCCAGTTTACTGAAAATTACGGCTCTTTTTCCTGTGATGTTAGAGTGATATAGCCCAGTGGCATATCTTCTGGGATCCAGAAGAGGGGTTGACAAATGATGGCCCATGGGCCAATCCAGCCCACCACCTGTTTCTGTAAATATAGTTTTATTGATACATATCCACAGACATTCAGTTATGTATTATCTATGAACTAGAGGCCCGGTGCATGAATTCGTGCACCAGTTGGGTCCCTTGGCCTGGCCTGCGGTATTGGGCCAAAACCACCTCTCCAACATCCTCTGAGGGTTCCTGGATTGCAAGAGGGCGCAGGCTAGGCCGAGGGCCATGGAAGGATGCAGGAAGTTGGCCAGTGGGGAGAGACCATGGGAGGGCTCCAGGGCATGTCCGGCCTGTCTCGCTCAGTCCTGATTGGCTGGACCCCAGCAGCAAGCTAACCTACTGGTTGAAGCATCTGCCCACTGGTGGTCAGTGCACGTCATAGCAACTGGTCAACTGGTCGACTGTCTGCCCCCTGGTGGTTAGTGCACGTCATAGTGAGAGGTTAAGCCTTAGCATATCATTAGCATATTACTCTTTGATTGGTTGAATGGACGAACAGACGACCAGACACTTAGCATATTAGACTTTTATTATATAGGATGCTTTCATTCTACCACAGCAGAATTGAGTGGTTACAACAGAGATCGTATGACTCATAAATGCTAAAGTATTTACTCTCTAGCCCTTACAGGAAAAGTTAGCCATCCCTGATCTTGAATGTCTATCTTTGACCATGTCTATGTCTGCTGGTAAGCTCCCCAAACCAAATGAACAACCAATTATCCAGTAAAATTCCTTGTTCTTTTTAATTGCTTAATGAAGACAGTTCAAGAAAGAATCAAAACCTATATCCTGACATATCAAGATGAACAACCAGCAAAATAACCATTAGCTGTCTTGTTTTCAGGATTTTACCTTCTGAGTATTCTATGTTCAGACAGAAAACATAAGTTGGCTGGTGTCTACAGCATGCTGAAATAGACAGGGGACTTTAGGAGCCCTCTGTATTCACATTTTAACTGCTTATGACAGATACTCTGAAAGGAGACCCTTCACTAAGTTCTAGCACTAAAGCCATGTAGAGGGTTTCATGTACAAATAACTATAGAGTGTGACCATTATTGCTAGTGAGCCAGTTTCTCATATGAAGACAATGTTAAGTCTACTATGCTACAAAATAGGCTTGTTGAGCCTTGCTAGTTTTAACTGAAACCAAAAGCTGAGCCAAAAACAGAATAATTAGGTATTTTCCTATTGCATCATAGAGTGTGTCTAAATTACCTCCCACTTTTTAGCCTGTTAAAACAAACAGCTCAGTCATGCAACCACCTGTTAATTCTCCAAGTGTTTAAAAAGTAAACATGTTAAACAAGTTGTGTGATGAACCTGTAACGAGGGTGGCCAAAGTACAGTGAGTACATCAGACATCCCTCCCACAGCTGTCTGAGCCACCTTCAAGTCACCTTGGTCATCAATCCCCAGGCCACAGAGATGAGAACTTTTATTTAAAAAGTAACTACATGCCAAGTCCTGACGTTACGTGGGTTGCAGTTTGGTTTAACAGATGAGGCAGTATGCAAATTTGGTGAAACTTCTAGATTTCTGACAAGCTAACCCTCTGCAGATCTCCATCCTACAAGTACTTCCTCAATTGCTTTTATACTTCACTCTTCAAGGACAGAGTACACGGCTGACCCCTTTTATACCCAGGCTTATACTCCTTTTCAGACAAACCTAAACAAAACTAAAGGCCCCAATCAATGGAGCAGTTCTAATAGTTCAGGGTTCCAGACAATGTAATCGTTTTACTTTTAATCAAAGGTATGCATATCTCAGATCTGAAAAAGGCTCTGCATGTGATGAGAATAGACATTTTGAAGATGAGGTTATACCATCAATTAAATTGTAACAATATCTTCCAATTTAACTTCTCTTGGTTCCCCAAACTATTTCAATGCTTTCTGTGCTCATTCTCTACTTGTAGATTAAAGCTTTCTCAAATAAAATAGTATTGTAAGGCAAAACAATAACACTATGGACTTCATTTCTACATATGGATTTTCAAAAAGTGATAAAATCTACATATGAGCTTTCAGAGAGTTTGATATGCTTACACTATATTATTATAATAAAATATAAAGGTTTCAGCAAGCCTTCATCATACTTGGTGGTAAGCAGCCAAAATAGCAGAATTGAGTTTCATTGTACTAACTTCCAGTTTTCTGCTGCACATGTCAGGGGCATGGAAGTCACCATTCTGTCCCAACAACAAGTAACAAACTGAACAGCCTGAAAAGCAACAGCTCTTCCTGGATCCAGGAGAGAGGGGCAGGCACAGGGAAAACTGCAGGCCCAGGACTGGAGACTAACAGGTACATGCAGGGAATGCAGCTGCCTGGAGCAGAGATGCAGGGTGAAGCTGCCACCGGAACCAGTGTTTAGGTGGGAAAACCTGAACTGC